GTGTAAAAGGTACGGGGGCCCTGCTTGAGAGACTGGGAGAACTGGGGTATAGGGCCTCCGCCAAAAAGGCCCAAATAGGCCAGAGACAAGTGACCTATCTGGGATATCTCCTGGAAGGAGGCCAGAGGTGGCTGACGGAGAGCCGCAAAAAGGCTGTAGCCCTGATCCCAGCACCCACTAATGCCAAAGGACTACGAGAGTTCCTCGGCAGTGCTGGGTTCTGCCGCCTCTGGATACCCGGGTTTGCGGAGATGGCGGCTCCCCTATATCCTCTCACGAAATCCAACACCCCCTACCACTGGGGAAAGGAGCAGCAATTGGCTTTTGACAAAATAAAAAGGCCTTATTGACCGCCCCTGCCCTGAGCCTCCCAGATGTAACCAAGCCTTTTACGCTATATGTTGATGAACATAATGGAATAGCCAAAGGGGTCCTAACTCAAAAACTGGGACCCTGGAAAAGGCCCGTGGCATACTTTTCAAAAATTAGACAGCGTGGCTGCAGGATGGCCCCCATGTCTCCGAATAATAGCGGCTGTGGCAGTCCTGGTAAAAGACTCAGACAAGTTGACTTTTGGCCAACCCCTCACTGTGGTGGCCCCCACGCCGTAGAGACAGTCATCCGCCAGCCCCCTGATCGATGGCTCTCAAACGCCCGGGTCACCCATTATCAGGCCATGTTACTGAATTCTGAGCGGATACAGTTTGGAACGGCTACATCTCTAAACCCGGCCACCTTGCTTCCAGAAACCGAGTCCCCCTCCCTAGTAATGCATGATTGCCACCAGATCCTAGCTGAAGTCCATGGCACCAGAGGGGACTTGACGGACCAGCCTTTGCCAGATGCTGAAGCAACCTGGTACACCGATGGGAGTAGCTTTCTACGAAATGGTGAGCGTAAAGCCGGGGCAGCCGTGGTAGATGGGAAAGCTGTCATTTGGGCCAGTGCCTTAGAGCCTGGGACTTCAGCTCAAAGGGCAGAGCTTATAGCCCTAACTCAGGCCCTAAGAAAGGCTAAGGACAAAAAGGTCAACATTTATACTGACAGCAGATATGCTTTTGCAACTGCCCATGTTCATGGAGAAATATACCGTAGAAGGGGTCTCCTAACCTCAGCAGGTAAAAACATCAAAAACAGAGAAGAAATACAAGATCTTCTCCATTCCCTCTTTCTGCCGAGAAAACTGAGTATAATTCACTGTCCTGGGCATCAGCGAGGCAATGACCCAGTAGCAGAGGGGAACAGGATGGCCGATGAGACAGCACGGGCCGCTGCACTAGGCCCACAGGCCCTCTCCCTACAAGTACCAGAGGCTGTCCGGACACCGGGGCAACTCTCTCTCGAGTACTCAGACAGCGACCTAGATATCGTCCAGCAAATAGGGGCAAAATATGACGAGCAAATGAAGGTCTGGAAACACCAAGGGAAGACGGTCCTGCCCCAGAAAAGGGCCAAAGAACTGGTGACTCACCTCCACCGATGGACTCACCTCGGACACAAAAAATTAAAAGCACTCCTCCGGAGAAAGGTCAGACCTATTACATTCCCAAACTCCCTCCCTGATCCAACAGGTAACCGACGCTTGTGTACCTTGTGCTAAGGTAAATACCAAACACCTCAAGATGCCTGAGGGAACCAGGATGAGGGGAGAAAGACCCGAACTAATTGGGAAGTAGACTTCACCGAAATCAAGCCAGGTAAATATGGTAACAAGTACCTCCTAGTGTTTATAGATACCTTTTCAGGCTGGACAGAAGCTTTCCCCACCAAGCGAGAAACCGCCCAGGTGGTTGTCAAGAAAATCCTGGAAGAAATTTTCCCCGGTTTGGACTGCCCAAGGTAATAGGGTCGGACAACGGCCCCGCCTTCGTCTCCCAGGTAAGTCAGTTGGTGGCCAGATTACTGGGGATAAATTGGAAATTACATTGTGCATACAGACCCCAGAGCTCAGGTCAGGTAGAAAGAATGAATAGAACAATTAAAGAGACCCTAACTAAATTGACATTGGAGACTGGCACTAGAGACTGGGTCCAACTCCTCCCTATGGTTCTGTTCCGAGTCCGGAACACTCCCGCGCGCCATGGGCTAACTCCTTACGAGATTCTCTATGGAGGTCCCCCACCAGTAACGGACTTACTAGATTCTGCTATTGACCCTCTTGCTAACACTCCCGGTTTACAGGACAGGCTAAAGGCGCTCCAGATTATCCAGCACCAGATCTGGAAACCCCTTGCGGCTGTCTACCGCCCCGGAGACACAACCGGCCCACACCCGTTCCAGATCGGGACTCCGTCTACGTCAGGAGACATCAGTCCAGGACGCTTGAGCCCCGCTGGAAGGGCCCATATACTGTACTACTGACCACCCCAACCGCCTTAAAGGTAGACGGCATTGCTGCTTGGGTCCACGCCTCACACGTCCAGCGCGCCCCATCAACGAGCACCGCTGACGCCAGCCAGGACGGACCGGACGAGCCACTCCAATGGAAGCTCCACCGCACCCAAAACCCGCTCAAGATAAGACTTTCAAAAATTGTTCAATGACAGTTGTTATATTCCTACCTCTCCTAGCGCTCTTCACCTCCGCCAAAGGTGACCCTCATGCCCTCAAAAGGTTAACCTGGCAGGTACTAACGTCTGGGGGTGACGAGGTCTGGTCTATAACTAAGACCGCCCCCGTGGGAACCTGGTGGCCTGACCTATATCCTGACCTATGCAAGCTAACCATAGGGGCCCCTAGCCCATGGGACCTAGAGGGATACTTCGACACCTCTAGAGCCCCTAACCAAGAAAGCCCTCCAGGGCGACTGGGATTAGACCCATGGGGAGGATGTGGCACGCCTGACAGAAGGGCCATGCTAAGCACTCTTCCCTTTTATGTCTGTCCCGGGCACCACAGAGATCGCAGGCTAAATCCCACCTGTGGAGGAGGGGAATATTTCTATTGTAAAAATTGGGGGTGCGAAACTACTGGGGATACAGAATGGAGGCCCTCCTCCTCCTGGGATTATATCACTGTCAAGGCTAACTATACTCACCCGACATTTAGCAAATGGAAAACCCTTAATTATGGGCCCTGCCAAGGGTGGTGTCATCCCCTACGGATATCCTTCACGGAGCCCGGAAAAAGGGCTACTTACTGGGCCAATGGATATACGTGGGGACTCAGGTTATACAAAGAAAGAACAGATGATGGTTTTATATTCAGAATTAAACTAAAAATAGAATCCCCAGACCCCGTGGCGATCGGGCCTAACGCGGTCCTCGGGGAACAAAGAGCTGCCCCGGCCCTAGCCGCAGGGAGTGCCGCACCCACTAACTTCGCGGTCACTCCAACCCCTCGGTCGTCACCCGAGACGGGACAACGACTGTTTAATCTTATCATAGGGGCATTCCTGGCCCTTAATCGAACCAGCCCCGATGTAACTAAATCCTGCTGGCTCTGCCTTGCTTCCCCCCCCCCTTATTATGAGGGAATTGCTACTTCAGGGACCTATAATAACATCACTAGCACTCAGGGATGCACACCCGACTCCCAACCACAACTCACCCTTACAGAAGTTACAGGACAGGGAACCTGCATAGGAACACCCCCCCCGGGCTACCAGAGACTCTGCAACACTACCACCCCGATTTTGGGGACTGATTCTTACCTGGAGCCCCAGCCGGGAACTTGGTGGGCATGCAACAAAGGCCTCACCCCCTGTGTGTCGGCTAAGGTTCTAAATAGCTCAAACGACTTCTGTGTCATGGTGCAGATCATACCCAGGGTGTTCTATCACCCTGCTGAAACTCTAGAAAATCAGTATGATAAACATCCCACCCGTTTTCGGCGCGAACCTGTCTCCCTAACCTTAGCCGTTATGTTGGGACTAGGGGTCGCTGCTGGGGTGGGTACTGGCGCAGCTGCTCTGATCCAGGGCTCACGACGTTATATAGAACTCCAAACAGCTGTAGATGAGGATCTACGGACACTAGCGCAGTCCGTTTCTAAGCTAGAACAGTCCCTCCCTCACTTTCAGAAGTAGCACTTCACAACAGGAGAGGCTTGGATTGACTATTCCTGAAAGAGGGAGGACTGTGTGCGGCCCTGGAGAGGAATGCTGTTTCTATGCAGACCATTCTGGAGTCATCAGAGACTCCATGGCCAAACTCAGGGAAAGGTTAAATAAAAGACAAAGGGACCGGGAGGCCCAGCAGGGCTGGTTTGAAAGCTGGTTTAATCAGTCTCCCTGGTTGACCACCCTAATCTCTACCATTCTGGGCCCTCTAGTTATCCTGCTCCTGCTGCTAACTTTCGGCCCCTGCGTCCTCAACCGGCTGCTCCAGTTCATCCGAGAAAGATTGTCTATTACCCAAGCTCTGGTATTAACTCAGCAATGTCGGGCCCTCCAAACTGAAAAAATAAATGTTCCCTAAGATTTTAAGGTTAAAATCAGCCCAAACAAGAGGAGGGAATGAAGAAACCTCCCCCTTGTAAGTAGGGCCAGCCCTAACCCAGAGGCAGCCCATCCAGGCGTCTTCCTGAAATTTTAGGCAACTAAAAGCATTCTGTTTACAATAAGAAAACCGTTCCCCCCCCACACACACCCTGATTGGAATGTCCCTGAATTGGTTCATGTTGACCCTCCCCGAAATCAACCTGGATGCCATGCGACTCCCGCGGTTCTTTTGTCTTTAGGCAGTTTCTTTCCTTTTGCCTTTTAAAAGATCCCGGTAATTGCTAATCGGGGCTCTTTTCCTCCTCGGAGGCAGAGAGCCCGTTTTTCGCAAACGTTCAATAAACCCTCTTGCTAATTGCATCTGCCTGTCTGGGTTCTGGGTCTCTGGGGCGTCCACCGGGCCACGTTGGCACCCGTGAGCCAGGGTCCAACAAGTGTTGTCTACACACTTGAGATTCTTTTAAGAAGGAATCTGGAGCTTTTTCTCATGCTTTTCAAGATTGCCACCACCCTGGCAAAAGGATGTTCCCAGCCCGGGAGGATCAGGGAGGCTTCACTGCTGCTACCTGCTGGACTTTCCCACCTGCCTGGGGAGTGTGTAGGCTCCAGGCTCTGGGAGAGAACAGGGAGGGTTGAGTAAGACCATCGGTTCGATCTTGGTTCTAAACTGTATTTGAAAAAACAGAACCAGAAAAACAACTCAGGGTTCACCGGCCTCACATAACTCTTCCCAAAAAGCTAAGTTACTTTCCTTCAGCTTCTAAAAGAGCCAACAGCAAACCCATCCCTTGGAATGCTGGTGTGTCAAAGAGTGGTCCATATTATCCAAATCCTACATGACAAGTCTGTTGTTCCTAAAATGCAAATTACAGAAAGTAAAACTGAGGTTTGGCAAATCTTTTGGTCTGGTGGTGTCATGCGGTGAGGTGTGTCCTGAACGGAGTTGAGTATCAAGACTCCCAAGATGGAGAAAGGTGGATGTGGGACTTCCATGAATATTAAAAGGAACAAAAAAGTGATATAAATGCGTTGTAAAATCCTGTGAACCGAAAGGAATGTTGTCTTTGTGAGCCTCTGTTCCCGTATATTACAAAAACTTGCAGGTGTAGCCTTCCTGTTCTTACAATTTTCCCCTCCCACAGCATCTCATCTAATCCTTAAGTCAACAGAGAGTCACCAGGAAGAAAATGGGTTTGGGGCAAGTTGTTTTTGTCCTCTTTGAAAGTCTTTTAATTTATCTTTAAAATAAAGGTTGTTGTAATATTGGATTCCATAATATATGCATACTACCTGGCATACAGGAGGTGTTTTAAAAATTGTACAGAGCTCCACATCGAGGCAGTTCAGAGGCTCTCCCTAGGGCCCTGGCACTTGCACCTGCCACTCCTTCTTTCTGAACTGTTTTTCCACCTCTCTAAATAACTCAAGAGTATTTACATATAGCACAGTTTACATCTAGCACATTTACAGTTTACATATAGCACACTTAAGACAAAATATGATCCAAAAACCTATTCCATCCACAATGACTGTGAAACCATGAATCAAAACTTGGTCAGCCAGTTCAGTTAGCAAGAAATGGGTGTGGGTTCCGAAGAACTTTCTCTAGTACCCTCCTCACCTAGCAGATATATAAGAAGAAGGACTGGAAAGCTAAGATTATGTGATCCAGAGTAAGTTCCACATCTGGCTGGCCTCCTGAAAGAGAAGAGGGCCCATCATATGCTGGTTTTTTTCTGGGATATTGCATTGGAAATTCAAGCAGGGACCTATAATTGGTGGCGGGGGGGGGGGGGGAGGAAAAGAAACAGTGAGCAAAATCACATTTATCTGGTCTCTGAAATCTGACGCATTCTGCTTAATTTCAGGAGATCCAGAGATTGCAAGGAGCCCAACTCAACTGGAATCTTTCTCTACAAGACAATACACAATCTGGTAAGTTGTTTTTTTTCTTTTCGGGGTTTGTTTTGTTTTTTAAGATTTATTTGTTTGACACAGAGCAAGAGAAAAAGCACCAGCAGGAGGAGCTGGAGGTTAGAGGGAGAAGCAGGCTTTCTACTGAGGGGGTAGCCCAATGCGGGGCTTGATCCCAAAACCCCTGCATCATGATCTGAGCTGAAGGCAGACACTTAACCAGCTAAGCCACCCAGGCTCCCCTACAATCTGGTAAGTTCTAACTGAGGGTCAGAGGATGAATAAGATTATTATGGTCAGAGACAGAAATGTTCAGGATGAGTTCATGGAATGAACAGGGGGCTTTGTTTTGCTTTTGGCATAATTTTGCCCCAAAAGAAGGTAGGACTTCTTTCTAAAGGTCTCCTTAATAAAGGAGAATTCCGGGGATCCTGGGGTGGCTCAGCAGTTTAGTGCCTGCCTTTGGCCCAGGGCGTGATCCTGGAGACCGGAGATGGAGTCCCAGGAGAATTCCTGATAATAACATGCCAGCGGGTAAGGCTAAGCGATGTATCTTTGATACACCTTTATTGAGGTCCATTCTCAGAAAATATTTTATTCCCATTACTTTGTCGTCCACTGATCTCTTCTATGACTTACACTGGATAGAACTGAAGGTCATATCAAGGATTTTATAGGAGCTTTTGAAAATTCTGTTTCCATTCAACCAATGAATATTTTATAAATATTCAAAAGCTGAATTCTATATAGCTGGGAAACCCTATTTCTATTTTCTTTTTTTTTTTTTTTTATTTATGATAGTCACAGAGAGAGAGAGAGGCAGAGACACAGGCAGAGGGAGAAGCAGGCTCCATGCACCGGGAGCCCGATGTGGTTCGATCCCGGGTCTCCAGGACCCGCCCTGGGCCAAAGGCAGGCGCCAAACCGCTGCGCCACCCAGGGATCCCATCTATTTTCTGATTTGTGGTCAGCAAGATGCACTTTGCATTTTCCCCTATCCAGCTCTTATATTAAATATTCAGTTACATCTTAATTTACAGTACACTGGTTTCAACTTCCACCTATACACAGATAATTCATTTACATCTCCAGGGCAGGTCTCAGCTCTAAGCCCCAATCTGTATAACTGTCTGGGGGAGTAGGGGTTCTTGTGGGTTTTTTTATGAGTCTTTTTTATCCTTTTTTCAGCTTGACTCAGGTATAACTGACAAAAATTGTATAGGTTTAAGGTACACAATTTGATATTTTGATATACATTGTGAAATAATCACTACAACCAAGCTAATAAGCGTATCCATCACCTCACATAATTATCTTTTTGTGTGTGGGGTGAGAACATTTAAGATCTATCCCCTTAGCAAATTTCAAGTACAGAATATGATATTAACTGTAGTCACCATGCTGTACATTGGATCTCCAGGAGTTTTTCATCTAGTATAATGAAAACTTTGAACCCTTAGATCAACATCACCCCATTTCCTCCTTCCTCTAGTCCCTAACCACCACTATCCTACTCCCTGCTTCTGTTAAGTGTGGCTATTTTAGGTTTCACATGTGAGATCTTGCAGTATTTATCTTTCTGTGTCTGGTTTTTACTCGGCATAATGTCCTCCAGATTATCCATGTTGTTGCAAATAGAATTTCATTTTTTTTAAGGCTGAAAAAAATACTTCAGCGTGTGTGTGTGTGTGTGTGTGTGTGAATTTCACATCTTCTTCATTCATTCAACCATTGATGGACATTTAGGTTGTTTCCATATCTTGGCTATTATGAATAATGCTGCAGTGAACTTGAGAATATAGATAGCTCTTTGAGATACTGTTTCATTTCCTTCAAATATATGCCCAGAAGTGAAATTGCTGGGTTTTTTTTTAAATATATTTTATTTATTCATGAGAGACACACACACAGAGAGAGGCAGAGACACAGGCAGAGGGAGAAGCAGGCTCCATGAAAGGAGCCCGATGCGGAACTCGATCCCAGAACCCTGGGGTCACGACGTGAGCCAAAGGCAGACGCTCAGCCACTGAGCCACCCAGGCGTCCCAAGAGATTGCTGAGTTTTATGATAATTCTATTTTTTAATTTTTTGAGGAACTTCTATACTGTCTTCCATAATGGCTATACTAGTTTACATTCCCACCAATGGTACGCAAGAATCCCAATTTCTCCATATCTTCACTTGTTAAAATAACACTTGTTATTTTTGTCTTTTTTTTTTTTTCAGAGAGAGAGAGTACAATCGGTGGGGGAGGGGAAGGAGGGCAAAGGAAGAGGTAGACAGAGAATCCCAAGCAGGCCCCACGCTCAGCGAGGAACCCAAAGCAGTGCTCAATCTCACAATCCTGAGATCAATACCTGAGCTGAAATCAAGAGTCAAATGCTCAACTGACTGAGCCAGCCAGGTGCCTCTTAATCTTTTTGATAATAGCCATTTCACCAGGTGTGAGATGACATCTCATTGTGCTTTTGCTTTGTGTATCCCTGTTGATTACTGATGTTGAGCACTTCTTCATATACTTGCTTGGCATTGTGTATCACAGAACCATATCTGTCTCCCTGCTGACAAACTTGTCCTGAACCTACCAAATGAAAGTTTTACCAGGGGCAATGACAGCCTTATCTAGGGCAAGAAATGAGCCTGGTGACCAGGAACTCCACCCCCAGAGAAGTGAATCTGTTTCTCTCTGGTTTTTTGAGGAGCCAGCTTGGGCTCATGTGATGGTCCAGTATCATGTGATGGTCCCTTCTGTATCTGTCCTCCCAACCCTTCTTGGATGAATAAAGCCTGACCAATTTTAGGGAGAATGATTTTGCTCGTCCCTGTGTTGGCCAGAGATGTTGGGACAGTGTGATTTCTGAGTGATTGATTTCCTACAGTGTTGGTTCTTCCCTCCAGGTTGGGAGGTGATAACCACCAACCCAGGAATTCTCAATAAATTTTTATTAAAGGGCACCTGGTGGCTCAGTTGGTTGGGCATCTACCTTCAGCTTGGGTCATGTTCCTGGGGTCCTAGGATCAAGCCTCGCATCAGGCTCTCGGCTTCTTCCTCGGATCCCTCACCCTGTAGTGCTTTCTCTCTGTCTCTCTCTCAAATAAATAAATATTTTTTAAAAAAATTTTATTAAGCAGAAAAAACTATAAATAAATAATTAATTTAATGGCATTGTGATAAAAATGTAATCTAGATAAGACTGATTCTTCATATTTGTGGAGACTTGCTTAATGATGGATGTGTGTGTGAAAAGAATTAGTCTCTTTGTAAGGGGTAAACAGAGTTTTATATATATCTATTCAATCAAATTTGATAACTGCATTGTTCATATCTTCTATGAGTATCTCCTATATTTTTATACCTGATCCATCATTTATTGACCTCTTTGTCTAACAACACTTGTTTATATGTTTTCATGCTTTATGAGGTTCACTCATGGTTTGAATTACTACATGTTCTTGTTATTATAAAGTGATCTCATTCTACCCCCATAATGTTTACTAATAAATGAATATATACATACAGGTTTTATTTTGGTACTTACCTGATTTTTATTCTTCCATTCTTTTAGTTTTTATTTACTAATTGTAGTGTTCTAAATATGTCTTTTGTCTATAGAGTGTACTTCTACATTTTGGTTTTTTTTTTAATCTTTTTTTTTAAGATTTTATTTATTTATTCATAGAGATGCAGAGAGAGAGAGAGAGGCAGAGACAAAGGCAGAGGGAGAAGCAGGCTCCACACAGAGAGCCTGACATGGGACTCGATCCAAGGTCTCCAGGATCAGGCCCCGGGCTGCAGGCGGCACTAAACCGCTGCGCCACCAAAGCTGCCCCATTTTGGTTTTTTTTTTTTTTTTTTTTTTTCATTTTGGTTTTTTTAATGTAATCCAACAACCTCTGATTCTTGAGTGAGGAAGAGTTAATCTATTATATTTACTCCATTTACTGTACATTTTGATTTATTTCTACCACTTCATTTGAACTTTCTATTTTCCCTGCCTTTTCTTCCTCTTCTTTTTGTTTTATTGGATTAGATACATTTTCTTTACTCGTTTTCCTCCCCTCTCCTGGTCTAGAAGTTAAATATTCAATTTCTACTTATTTACTGGTTATCCCTAAATTTAGAAATACATATTGGATTTAACAAAATGTAAAACTAACTTCCTTGTCAAAAAATACAAAGATATTTAATATTTTAATTCTGACTTCCTTTTCCATGACTTCTATATTATTATAATCTAGAATTTTGGTTTCACCTTGTTTTCTGCTGCCAAGTTAGTTAGTATAAATATAATTTTTATGTAATACTTGATGCAATACTTGTTTAGATTTATGCACTTGTTTACCAACTTCTTGCTCACACTTCATTCTTGTATTTCACTCCTAGCTTTAGAACTTCAATGTCACTCCACCTTAACAACATCACTATTGTCAGAGAGTTAATTTAATTATTGATATAGCCTTCCATTTTTTTTGTCTGTCTGAAAAATGTATTTATTCTGCATTAATATTGGCCTGGTAGTTTAGCTGAACTAAGAATTTTTGGTGGAGAGTTATTTTCTCTTAGTACTTTAAAATGTTCTCTTTTCTTCTGACATCTATTATTTGCAATTGAAAATTCTCTGTTCTATAGATGATTCACCTATTGCTTAGAGATTTTTAAGATCTTCTTATCTTTACTATTTCACAGTAATATCTGATTAGCTGTGGGTTTGACTAGTTTTGCCTATTGCATCTAGACTATTGCTTTACTCCCATTCTTTCCATTCTCTCATATATATGCACATCTTCCATATACACATGCGCATGTATGTATATACACATATATGTGTGTGTTTCACTTTATCATTATGTCCTCCATATGTTTTACTATCTCTATACTATTTTCTCTTTATAGTTCTCTGATGAATTATGGTAAAGTTCCTAAAATCCACCTTCTAGTTCCTAATTCTCACTTAAGCTAGGTCTAGTCAACTATTTGTCTAATTCACCAAGCTATTATCTACAACTATTTTTCATCTTAAAATCTCCTTTTGAATCTTTTTTCCAATTTGCCTGGTCACCTTTTTTTAAAGATTTATTTATTTATCTAGTTTAGAGGGGGGAGAGCGGAGGGAAAGGGAGAGGAAAGAAGCAGACTTTCTGCTGAGCACAGAGCCCAACACAGGGGCTGGACCTCATGACCCTGAGATCATGACCTGAGCCAAAAATCAAGAGTCAGAGGCTTAACCCACTGAGCCCCCCAGATACCTTTGCCTGGTCACTTTTTATGTTACCTTGTTCTTTTCTCATGTTTTGTTTCTTTATTTATGTTTTTAATATTTTACACATACTTCTCCTATAGTCTCTATCAGAGTATTCAATTTTATGCCACTCTGTAGGTCTAATCCTGATGAATGTTGTGTCTATTGAGCTCCACTAAGGGTGATTTGCTCCCACGTGTGTTTTCTATTTTTGGACTGTGAGATGGTCTTACACAGCACTTTGTGTCTTCTGTGGGGCTATGTTGAGTCTGTTTTACTCCAAAGTGATTTTACTATTGACCTTCCAGAGTTACATCCAACCAGGGACCCATTTTTACATTAATCACTCCCCTTATTACAATTCTCTATTCATTGGATTTTGTTTTGCTCTTAGAAGAATGATCAAAGACCCAAAATAACCTCTAAAGAACAGTACCACCTGACTGCCATCTACTTCCTGAGCATTATCTCCCACCCATTCCACCACTTATTCCACTCCAGCCATACTGGCTTCTGTGCTTTTCTAGAATGGACCAAACTGTCTCTCATCACAAGGCCTTTGTACATGCTGTTTATTCTACTGAGGGTCCTCTTTCTTCCCTTCTTATTTTAGCTAACTTCTACTATCTAATATCTCAGTTGAATAATTACTCCCTTAAGAAAGACTTCCCTGACCTCCCAACTACCCTGACCAAAGAACAAGGAAAATCTATCTATCATAGATTCTGAGAGCATCAAATACCTCTCCTTTATGGATCTAATCATGATTTATATGTGCACATGTATTTATTAATGAGATCGCTTGGTAAATACCTGCCTTTCTCACTAGAACTGCCTCAATGGATCTGAGACCATTTCTATTTTTTTTCACCATGGTATTGCCAATTGCAGCCAGGGCCTAGCATATAATAGGTGCTTGTTAAAAATTTGCTAAATGAATGAGTAAATAAAGAAATGAACAAGTTGGGCAGCCGGGGTGGCTCAGTGGTTTAGCGCTGCCTTCAGCCCAGGGTGTGGTCCTGGAGACCTGGGATCGAGTCCCACGTCAGGCTCCCTGTAGGGAATGGAGCCTGCTTCTCCCTCTGCTTCTCTCTCTCTCTCTCTCTCTCTCTCTGTCCCTCATGAATTAATAAATTAAATCTTTAAAAAATAAAATAAAATAAATGAACAAGTCAATTTACAGAGGATCGATTTCCCTAGGAATCATCTCTCTCCTCTTAAGCACTGGTCTTTGTTTCTTATACCATGACTAGTGGGGATCCTGGGTTCTTTTCTCATGTTGTTGACATTGAAAATGTTTATGAAGCATGACAGCATCATCCAAGATGATGACTACCCATTCAAGTTCCTGACACCTAGCAGAAGGATTGACTTTACTATATTTCTAGTGATTCTTGGCCTATCCAGCACAATATAGGCTTCTGGGTTTATTATTTTACCATTTCAGCCCATCTTCATGAAAGTGATTCCCTTGTCCTATATCAATCACAGCAAGATTTTATAAAATCTTCAAAGGCATGAGTTTTGCACCACTACACTTAGACAATTCACAAAACCTATATAAAGCCCTTCTCCAGTTGGCGTATACAAATTGTACAACTTGGCCGTCTTAATCTTATCTACAGAGACAAAGGAACACACATATAGATGTCCTTCGGAGGGGAAATTCTCTTTGCCACTTGAACCAGGTGCTCATTGACCCCTTGATTCTGTCAAGGTCTCATGGCCTAGATCTTATTTCTGTCCTCTAAAGATCACCTGCTACGTATCTACCTAAGTAACAGTTAAGGCTCATTCCAGCTACAAATAAGGCCATATTTATGTATGTGCACTAGTTCACTGTGCATATGTGATAAAGGCCTACATCTCTGTGAAGTATTCAAATCATGGTCAACTCTCTCTGAATGACATTTTTAAGACCTATTTAATATCTTCTGTAAGAACAGAAGGAGCCCATAAAAAGCACCCAGTTTGTCCTTACAAGTTCACAGACAGCACAATGAGTGACACGTGTACCTATAATTGATTCTCTGGCTCCCCAGGCTGGCTCCTCTTTATTTGCCAAGACTCCTGTTTCCTCCATCTTGCCTTATTTCCCCAACATCTTCCACTCCTTCACATTCCTTGTTCATCTCCCTCTCTAGCAAACAACTCATTTCAGAATTATTTTTGCTGATGCCTACATGGCACTTTCCTGACTCATTCAGAGTGTCAGAGCTTTGAGTAGCCACTGGGACCACCTCACCACACCACTCCTTTTGTAGATGTCGGCTCTGCCTTCAACACAGACCAGGATCCAATCACTTCCCATCTCACTGTCTGTGCCAGCACCCTGGCCTCATCCCTCATCAGCTCTCACTAGGGTCACCGCAGTCCCTCCTAACCAGACTCCCTACTTCTGCTCCTACTGCCTTACTATGTCTGTCTGTGGACAACACAACAAAGACTGGCATCTTTTCCAAAGACGTGTCCCACTTGTCACTCTTGACAGTATAGGGCACTTCCTGGGCCTTTAGAGTCCCGTTGGGCTGGGGCTGGGGGCACACACAGGCTTTTCTATTCTAGCCCAAAGAGCAATGAATTTCACAACAGTGCTTTCCTCCAAAGCTTAGGCTGTGTTTAGAATACCAAAGTTGAGAAAATTCTGATCTAGTCACCATTCTAAGTTAAGACCAAAGTTAATCTCATATATTTGCCCTTTCTTTAGGAAAAATATCAAGCTCCGTGGGAGCTTCCCCTCTCAACTGAATTTTGGATTCCCCTTCTACCTGTTCCTAGAAACATGCCCTCCCTCTTTGAGACTATTAGCAAGAACTTGGTCAGAGAGCTTGGAGACAAAGACCTGAGGCCCATGAGATGCCTGTCGAATGCCAACCAATTCCGTCAGCTGGCAATATTACAGAAGAGGAAGAAGCGCTCACCCTTCTGGGAACAACCTGACATTCCAGCCGAATACACCCTCATGGACCTCCTGGAGCCAAGTTCTTCAGTTCCCGGTATTGTCAACAAGGGCAAGGGGGCAAGGAGTAGAAAACACATGTGCTCACAGGCAGTGCAGGATCCCTTAGGCACCCACACAGGTCAACATCAGGGTTGTCAACAAGGGCAAGGGGGCAAGGAGTAGAAAACACATGTGCTCACAGGCAGTGCAAGGATCCCTTAGGCACCCACACAGGTCAACATCAGGGTTGGTTTTGCCAAAAGGCACTGGGCAAGAAACTACAATACTTAAAAATCTAATATCAGGACGCAGGCATTTATTAGTTCATCTAATACTTAGGATAGCTTCTTAAGTCAGGGACATTATCCCCACTTACAGAACTGTGAATTGAAACTTATAAAATAATCTGTTCCAGGTGATACACCCAGGAACTAGTAAAATTAGAATCCAAACTCAGATCTGTCTGGGTCCATAAGCTTAACATTTTCTGCTCCAGGGTGCTGCCTCCTGGGACTAGAGGCTGTGCGTGCTACAGAGGAAAGATGACATTGTGGATTCCCTGTACCAGTGCACACATGATGTCACCACAGCTTAGGGTTTGGGATGCTATCCTCTGTTATCCAACCCCTAGGCTGATTCAAACATTTGCCATCAGCAATAATTTATACTTAATACATTAACTGAGGGGCACCTGGGTGGCTCAGTTTGTTGAGCGTCTAATTCTTGATTTTGGCTCAGGTCATGATCTCAGGATCATGAGACCAAGGCACCCACCACCCCCACCCCCTGCTGGGCTACGTGCTCAGTGAGGAGTCTGCTTAAGGATTCTCTCTCCCTCTGCCCCTACCCTCTACCCCCTCTCTCTCTCAAATAAATACATCTTTAAAGGAAAAAAATAATTAACCATTGATGTGATAGCTTCTCAACTGAGAAATGTAAATGAATTGGAGGGTCAGGGCAACACAGGACTCAGCCATTCGATTTCCATTCAGTTTCCCAACCATTCTGGAGTAAATTCTTGGCTGAACCTAACGTCATCTTTTCTGTCCCCAGAAACTGCTGTCATGGGACCGTTTCTCTTCAGGGACACTGTGGTCCAGCAGGGACAGGTTTCTGCCAACGTGACCACTGGGCTAGAAATGAATGTGTCGGGGAAAGCTACTGTGTTCCATGGATCCTCCCTTCAGGTTCAGGCTGTTACAATCCCACCCCATAACTGGAAAGACCTTCAAAAGAGGTGAGGCCATAGGACAGGAAAGAACTGGTCAATGAGGCCCTTGAACTCTCCTCATGTGCCAAAAGGCACCTCGCCGGCTTTACTGCTAGGCTCGAGAGTACAGAAAATGACATCTCAGACCATATTATTCTTCTTGGGTATTCATTCATTCATTCAACTAATACTTATTAGTTATCTGGTATATATTGATTAAAACAGTAATTACTAGGACGCCTGAGTGGCTCAGCAGTTGGGCATCTGCTTTTGGCTCAGGGTATGATCTGGAGTCCCAGGATCGAATCCCACATCCAGCTCCTTGCTTGGAGCCTGCTTCTCCCTCTGCCTATGTCTCTGCCTCTCTCTCTCTCTCTCTCTCTCTCTCTCTCTCTGTGTGTGTGTGTGTGTCTTTCATGAATAAACAAATAAAATCTTAAAAAAAAAAACAGTAATTACCCATAACTGTGCTGTCATGTGCTGGGAATAGAATAACGACAAGACCAATAAAAATCTCTACCCCAAGCCACTTATATTCAGTGTGGACAGGCAAAGACCAGGGAGTGAGGAAGCAGGAAATAAAAAATAAATTTAGGGATCCCTGAATGTCTCAGCGGTTTAGCGCCACCTTTGGCCCGGGGCGTGACCCTAGAGTCCCCGGATGGAGTCCCACATCGGGCTCCCTGCATGGAGCCTACTTCTCCCTCTGCCTGTGTCTCTGCCTCTCTCTGTGTCTCTCATGAATGAATAAATAAAATCTTTTAAAAATAATAATAATAAATTTAAAAAGTATTAATTTAGGTGAGACAAAGAATCTGAAACTCTCTGTGCTTAATAAATAAAGTATGCAGCAGTGTCCTGGGATTCCACTTATCTCCATGTATATGGGCACATGGGCAAAGGTAGGTATCAAATGATCCTCTAAGTGCTTAACAGACAACTTCTTAAATCATCTTAAATAGCGTGTTTACAAAGGCGTGTTACATTGTTAGGTAAGCAAGTAGTTAAAAAATCACAGTCCTTTTAGAGACTAAAAGTTACTTTCACAAGGTATTGGACAATTTTTGTTTCCCTGGGTTCTTACAAGGCCCTTATTAAAAATGACATTTGCAAAGACTGCTTATGGTGCAAAAGAGTATCTCAGATTCTTATACTGCTCAGAAAGAAACAAAAAAAGAATTCTCAGTATTTCAGTAGGGAAAGAGGCAATTTCTAGGATACATTTTAATTGCTAGCTCTGAGAGAAATAAGTAAGCCTGAGGTCAGACCTTTAAATATGGAGGCATTGAGGGGGAGCAGTTGGCTATTTCTAATAAATGGGATGTGGGCATATAATGTGTTCAGCTGTGAAGGCGCTTGCAGATCATGATAGGAGCTCTGAGATAAGGAATAAACAGGACAAAGAGAAAGAGACACTGCTGGTGGTTGGTTAGGTTTCTCTGTGGCACTAACAGCTGAGCTCAGACCCCAAAGAATGATGGAAGCAAGAAGGAGCAGGAGGAAAGGGGTTCAAATGAGGGTTTAAAGGCCCTGGGGCATGGAAGAGCTGGATGATGATTCCAAGGCCGGGGGGGCGGGGGGGGGGTGGCCAGGGAGGCCAAACCTTAGTCAATGAGGACTAAAGTGATTCAAAGCTTAGGAGGTAAGTAGGGGTCAGATGACACACCCCTCGGATGCCTGGTAAGAAGTCTGCATTTGTCTCCAGGGGCAACAGGAAAGCCCCCACTGGATGCTCAGTACTGCCTGCAGTGAAAGGAGAATTTAAGGATCTCTCAGTATTCTGCACGCCAGGGCACCAAGCCCAGCGGGGCCTGGGATAGAATCTGACTTGAGTCTCAGAACTGAAATGGGGATAGACTTTTGTCTTCAGCACTGCAGGCCTTCCGCATCCAACCCACCTACTAAGGACAGTCAGCCCATAAAGCCCACCTGTGCTCATGGAAAATAATCCAGCATCAGCCTTGCCTCAGCATACTCTATCCCCCTGCTCCACAAGGGCACATGGGGGGTGTGAGGCCAGCTTTGACTACAGGGCTTTCTAAGCCCTGTTCTCAATCACCTGGACTCATCTACGTCCAGTCTCTTTCTGCTGAGAGGCCCTAGTTACTAGTGGAAAACTACCCTAACAGGACGAAAACAATTTTGGAAAATGCAGCTACCTTTCATCACACGGGATGCATACTGTCACACCCATACCCCTGTCAGAGAATGGGGGGCCTTCCATTGTGCATATCAGAGATGTTCTGGTGCCCTAAGTAACCTAGCCTGTAAGCTAGTATCTTCCAGATGCACTGTACCCCATCCAGGTTCCTAGAAGAGTAATCTAGAATAACCTAAGAAAGCATCCCTTTTCCGCTATGACCTTTCTCTTCCCACCTACCCCAGGAAAGTGCAAGATCCAGAGCTGCTATTTCTGGTGAAGTGCCGGGACAGACAGGATAATCTCTATGTGGTGACAGACACCGTGGAACTGACCAACACTACTGTGCTTTATGACAACAGAAGTGTGAATGTTTGGGGAAGCTGCTCTCTCCCTTTTGATACTTTCTTCAAGGTACACGGTTGTCCTGAAGTGGGTTGGGAACACAAAGAGCCCGGCCAGCCCGGCCTCACTTCCCAGGGGCTCTGCATCCTATTAGGACCCGTCTTGGGGGGTGCAATGAATGGGTCAGCATTTCCCACTTCTCATGTGCCGAGGAATCCTGACTCCTGACCTGAGAGTATATTCTGATGTGGTCACTTTAGTATTTTAATATATATGAGATTATTCTATATTGATAAAATGAAAAGAAATTTAACTATTTGCAATGATTATATTTGCTTTGGATAAATGATGGATCCTGGATACTCTGAAAGTATGGCTGCTCTACTACATACATGTGCAGCTCTGTGGCTGCAAGAAACAAGGGACCACACAGTACAAAACCTTAGCAGTTCAAAGATCCTAAATACTGTGATACCCTGACTAGAAAGTTTTCTGGATTGAGATTAAATATCTTCGAGCACATCTGATGCACCTAACTTATAATATCCACAATTTTTTAAAAATGGTTTAAACACAAGTTCATCAAATATTTAGTCAACATGAACCATGATTCAGGGACATATAAAGTGTGTATGTGTCATAGTGGACATTTTATACACAATCTATTTTATAGGTAATATGTCCTCACTTAAGAGACTTAGGAACTAAAAAGACAGGACAAAACAAACACTGAGATGTGCACTAACTTTCCCAAGATCTATGAATGAACCCTAGAGGAGGACACGGCACCACCCAGTGGTCAAGAAAGTCTGAAACAAAACTCAACTCCAGCTTGGAGGATTATTTCCATGTTCAGCTGTTTTCCCGCCTGTTCAGATGGGTGGACTGGGTTTTGTGAGGACAGGAGAAGAACACCCTATGGCATTTTGCATAGGGCAACTGCCCAGCTGTGTGTCCGGCTGCCATCCCAGCTGTTCACAGCCAGTGCCAATCTAAGCATGGGCTCTTGGGCTGTGATGCTGTTAAACAGTTTACATATCACCCCCCAGCTCATGGCTGCATCAGAGTTTCCCATGCCATTGGTTTGCACTTGATTCTCTTAGGTAGTATTTGACTCTCCAGGACATTCAAATAATAGGGCTGAATTCTGGGAAGCTATTTACTCACTAGGTTGCCTGAGAATGAATGGTATTCATGGTTCTGAGATAGGGTTCCTTCATACATAAAATTAAATCCAACACCTACATAAAAGTCCACTATAATACATTTTGACTATCAGGTCTCTAGAATATAGTCATTACTATTCAATATGATGGTTAATTTTATGTTGCCAATGTGACTGCCCCATGGGGTGCCCAGATATTTGTTTCAGTGTTACTCTAGGTGTGTTTGGGAGGGGGTTTCTGAATCAGATTTAAATGGGTGGACCGGTAAAGCAGATTATTTTCCCCAGTCTAAGTGGTCCTCATCCAATCCACTCAAGGTCTGAATAAAACTAAAGGCGGAGAGAGACTTCACTCTCTGCCTGAGTATCTCTCATCTGGGACACTGTTCTTCTGACATCAGACTCAGATTTGCACTATGACAATACACCATGGGCTCTCTCAGTTCTTTAGCCCTTAGATTCAGACTAGAACTATACCATTAGTTCTCCTGTGCCTGCACATCTTGGGACTTTTCAACTTTTATAATTGCATGAGCAGATCCCTGACAATAAATCCCTTTAGGTAGATAAATATATAGACAGACAGACAGCCTACTGGTTCTGTTTTTCTGGAAAACTCAGACTGATATACTCAGTAAAGTTTATTCAGCTTTTTACTTGATTTTAGGACAGAATGATAACTTCCAAGCTTTCTACATGCCAGATCAGAAACCAAGAGTCTAATTTTTTTAATAGAAAAGTCAAAAGATAAAATCAAATTTTCCCCCAAAAAAGTAAGCAAAAAGAGAGGGAAAGATTAATTTTAAAATTTAGAGAGTTAGTCCAGGAGAGAAATGGAAAACAGAGAAACACAGTAAAATAGGGAAAAGTATCCAGGAAATACTTCAAGAAAGGTAAGACCCGAAGCATATGCTCCTCCTTGGAAGGACCAACAGGAGGCCAGTTTCCCGGGTTCATAGGAATTAACTGCTAAAAGAAAGATCTGGAGTGAGGAGAAGCAGTCTCCCCAACAGTAAACAATGAGTATTAACTTAGATATTGGGACATGAACATTTTAGGAGGAGTGGAGGTGGGGCAGAGAGAAGAGTAGGACAATGAAATCCTCATCATCCAAAGGAGAAAATAACTGAATATACTTCATTTTGGGGGGGGGGGATCAAATCACTGCAAAATAATCATGAAAATGAGAAATATAAAGGTAAATACTGAACCAAGAAGGAAAAAGAGCAGAACCTGGAAATCAGGACCAACAGAGGGTGAGATCAGGGGGCTGGTGTGTTCCTTGATTATGAGCTTTCTAGATCTACCTGAGTTTTAAAATCACATGCATATGGGGCATATTGTTTGCTTTCTCTCCCCAGGGTCAAGGCCAGGGAGAGGGTCTAAAAGTGAGAGAGAAGACACTGATTCTGCCACAGGGCACAGTGATGGCCTACAAGAGGAAGCAGCTGGTTTTTAAGGAGAATGGCTGGGGTAAGCAGAGGCTGAAAGAGGCAGATGGGGAGAGGGAATCTGCTTCTCCTCAGAAGAGAAACGAGAGGGAAGGAGCATCAGCATGCTTCCACCCACTGCTCTGCCCATTCATGGAGAAGGCTGAGGACATTTCCCAGCTCTGGGGTCACACACATATCCCACTACCCATGGCCCCCTCCCAGCACAGCCTGGAATGCTGCTATGAGGAGACAGAGTCTCCCATGTGGAAAGGGGCCCAGTGCAGAGGTGACCTTAGCACTGAGCAAAGTGCACCCCAATCCCACCACCTGTATTCATTCAAGGACTCACTCAAGCCACTCTCAGCAGCTTACCTGGGAGACCCCATAACCTGAGGTCAGAGCCCATGAGACACCAGCAGGATCCCAAACAAAACTGCAGACATAATGCCCTAGGAGCAGAATGCAGGGTTTTATCTACACCTCTCCCTCTCTTGCTAGCCCCAGGCCCCCAGCACACACACACTCACACACATGCACATGCACACATATACTCACTCACCCACTACTCTCTACAGTAACCTCACTGCAACATCTTGTCTCAGCACATTTCTTATATGCAGCTATGAAATCACTCAGGAAGAGGGCAGGATTGGGAGCACACAGGTGAGGGAGGAGAGCTCAGGGAATAGGACAAACGGCAACAAACAGACAATCCTACCCAAAGAAAGGAGGACAGAGCCAATTACCTTTACCTTACAGAGCCAGTTGTCCAATCTCAGAGCGCACAGTGATCAACCGACGTGCTTGGTCAAAAGGCAGGCTCCAGGGTCCTCTTCAGAAAATTGAATTCCGAAGATACAGAATCAGGCCCGGGGTTCTGAGTTTTAGCCAGCATCACAGGTGCCTATGACGGGAGGGGTCCCCAGGCCACGCTGAGAAAAGCTGCCATGCCTGGCCTGGACGAGGAAGTCTGGGGCTGCAGGTGCAGGAATATGAAAGAGTCCAACAGGAATAACCTTAGCTCTCCTGGCCTGACTTCTTCCCATCCAGATATTCTCATCTCAGATGACGACAAGGAGAAGACCTTTCCAGAAGGTGAGCTCCAGAGCTGGGCAGGTTCTCTGCCTAGACGCAGACCCTGCTGAAACCTGACCCCCTTTGGATGCTAGGAAGAGCCCTGCATTGGACTCAGCCCCCACAGACCCATAGGGAAACCTTTCCAGCCAGTCTCCTTCACTGCCTCCTACTCTCCCCTGCCTTTGACCTTGGCACAGGCCCCTAGCCACTGAGATAGGGTTGTGGGGGTGCTGCCTGGGTCTCCATATGCCTAGGCACCAAGTCACCTGAAGTAGTGGGAAGAGGTAAGAAATCCAGGGGTGGGGGTAGGAAGAGGAGGGAGAGCCGTGGGGTTAGGGCAGGGGGAGAGGAGAGTAAACCTTTGTGAGTAAACACTTCTCTTTCTTTCCAGAGAAACTGCGCTACCAGTCGAAATCACTTCCAAGTGAGTGGGTGATTTTTGAGCCAGGACGGTGGGACTGGATCCTCCATGACGCCACCTTGCACAAAAGCCCCCACGTGATTGCCTCTGCTGCCCTTACCTAAGGCGGGAGGATCTGGCCTCTGGGCAAAGGGCAGGAGTAGAAGGAAAGGAGGGGGTCAGGGAAGTCGGGACAGAAGGTCAGAGAAACCAAATGGCTTCAGAAGTTAACTGTTGGATGGGGAATGTAATTTCTCTTTCAGGCACCATCAACAGTGGTTTCATCCGCCTAAGAGGTGAATATGTGTTTGCTGGAGGTAAGGATAAGGATCCCATCCTGCACTCATCTGGTGACCAGGGCAGATTGCCCTGGGCCTTTGCCCCCACTGCCCCCAGGGCCTGGTCCTAGTTTTTATGGAATAGGAAAGGTCCAGGAAGGCCAAGGGGGTGGAAGGATTGACCCAGGTTGGGGCAGGAAGTTTAACAAGAGGAAGTGGTAAGAGGACAGAACCCTCCAAAGGGTCTGAAAAGCATATTTGAGCATGAGAAAAGAAATGATCACTTGTGATTCTCTTTCCAGGAAGAACACAGGAACCTTTTAGGCAAGGTGAGTGCTTATTAAGAGGGAATTAAGAGGCCTCTGGGATAGGAAACTGCAAACCTGAGAACCCAAATTGGAGTTTCCGTGCAACTCAGAAAACTGAGCTCTACGTCCAGATATACGCTTTGGTCAGCTCCACTTATTCGTTCTTTTATTCATCTGTGCACGCCTGCAACAAACATTTACTAAGAACTTACTGGGCGAGGAACCTGGGAGGCCCAGTGGTTGAGCATCTGCCTTTGGCTCAGGTCGTGATCCCAGGGTCTTGGGATCAAGTCTCGTATCAGGAGATACGGGGGGGATTTGCAGGGAACCTGCTTTTCCCTCTGCCTATGTCTCTGCCTCACTCTGTCTCTCATGAATAAACAAATAAAATCTTAAAAAAAAAAAAGAGCTGGGCAACAGGCATTATTCTGAGCAACCGGGATACAGCAGGTGAACCAAACAGAAATGCTTGTTGTCACTGCAGCCTCCATTCTGGTGACCCCTCACTTAGCAGATCATCTTGAGGTCACCTGACATCTGCTAGGAGAAGCAGAGAGCCCCTGAATCCATTCCTTGCTTAATTCTGTATGGACATAGACAATACAGGGAGAATTACATGATAAGGGTAGCTCACGTGTACCCAGAACTACCCCAAGCATTTTATATACATAAACTCAACTGAATCCTCTTAACATCCCCATTTAACAGATGTAAACCCAGAGCACTTGAGATCCTATTTCCCAGAGCCCACTATTAGAATCCACGTTATGTCAGATATGTCCCAGTAATGAGCACCTAGTCATTTTCTTCCACTTCCCATGACCCCTGTCCAGAATCTCCATCTCTGCTCCCTGTATTCTAAACCCCCCTCATCTCATAGCACTAGGATTGTCTATTTGCTAGTCTGTTATTTTAACTCTTTCCGGAGATCAAATGTGCCATCCACAGAGATGCTTTAGTTGATAAAAGGGCTCACACTGGTGGGAAAGGGCTGATCGTTGCAGGAATGTTCTAATCAAAGAATTGTACCCCTTTTCTGGTTGATGCTGATTCCTGAGAGAAGATTTCAAGCAACTACATGAAGAGATTTTCCAGGAAGTGGAGGCCCTGGACGAGCTCTCAAAGGACACTCAGGATGCCATATTCCGTAATATCCTGAACACGCTTGGGAACCGAAAGGCTTTGCTGGAACTTATGGACAAGGTGAGGGGTTCCTATAGCTACTGAGGGCTGATCAAAAGTGGTAAAAGGGGCAGGCTTAGGCGATACTGCTACCAATGCACATGGGGGAAAAGGAAATGGGACAATGCCAGGGGAAAGAGTAGGATGTCAGAGATCTAGGACACTGGCCCCAGGCACAACAGGGCTAGCGAGTACAGCTCCAAATATTGGGGCTGAGGGCCCTGCACAACAGGGCCAAATCCCCTGGGGCAAATAAGGCCCACTGACCCTTACAGCTTCATCAATGACTTACAGACTTAGAAGACACAGGCCAAATTACTTAACAATACTAGTTGTAAGAGTAGTAGTAGTAGTAGTAGTAGTATCATATTACCAATACTACCAGTCTCCTACAGCTGGATGGGGACCCCTTTGATCCTTTGGATGGCTTTGGTGGCGAAATCCTAAATGAGACACAAGAGGACACAAGAAATCTATGGATCCAGGGAAGATCCTCCATCATTTACCTCCTCGAAGCCATAATAGGTAAGAGTGATTTGGGAGAAATGTAGGAAAGTCAAAGGTTTGGCCTGCAGACCTCCTGAAAGCCATGGATTAGATGCCACCTCTCCAAAACCCTTCAAATACCATGATCTTTACCCTCACATGTCAGCTCTCTCCAAAGTCTGGAGGGCTTAGGGAGATAAATTTGCTGTATTAACAGAGAACCAGCCTTAGGTTTAGAAAGTGATCTGCCCAAGTACATCCAACAGATCATTGTGGGTGGATGATTCCAGGCTCCAGCCTCAGAATCCCTTCCTCTGGACCATGGTATGTAGCATCCTGGAGACCATTCCAAGAATAGGAGGAGGACTTAGTACAGGGAAATTGACTTCCATGTCCAATGGTTTGTTCTCCTGCCTCAGAGTTCCCCTCTCAGGAGGTCTCCTAGTTCACAGTGGGGAGAGGAAAATCTGATTCTTCATCCCTCTCTTTCTCCAAACGTCCCTCTGTTCCCAGTGCTGAGTGATACCCAACACAATCTGCTGGCCCAGTCCATGAAGAAGAGGATCCTCCTCCAGCAGCAGGAGCTGGTGAGAAATCCCCAGGGGCCAACATCCAGGAAGGAGGGTGAGAAAATCAGAGTTAAGAATGGCTCTGATGAAAAAAAGAGATCATGATGGAGGTTTCTGCCAGGAAGGGAGATGGGATTTTGTGTGGCAACTGGGAAATCCCTGGCTGCAACTGCCTCTGGGGAACAGTCCCAGAGGGTATGAGTCTATCTCAGGAGGGTCTCCATTTCCATGGCAACCCCTGCAGGGGGGTCCCCCACAGTTCTAAAAGAGCTATATAGTGAACCCAGGTCTGGGAACCCAAGGGCTCTGAGTCATATCCCTGCTTTACTCTAAGCAGTTACCATTTGAGAATTGCTCTCCCTTTCTCCACATACGTACATGTAAATATATATGTGTGGGCAGACATCCATATATATATATATATATATACACACACACACATTGCACACATGTGCGTACATGAATACGTATCCTACTCCAGATGCCACTATTCTACAAGGGAAACGTTAGTATAACTGTCTAGCAGCTGAAAAGCCAATGCTCAGCATTTTCCAATAATGTGTCCACACTCACACTGATCACAGGATATGACCTGGATATGACTCCTGGTCCACTTGACTCCAAAGCTTTTGTCCTTTTCAGTTACCCTGAATGACCCTCTTGGGATCAATTTTCTCTTCCCAACCTCAAATGCTAACCTGTAACGTGGGATGCTGTTTATTCTAGGTAAGGAGCATCCTGGAGCCCAACTTCAAATACCCTTGGAACATCCCCTTCACCCTCAAACCTGAGCTCCTTGCCCCACTCCAGGGTGAAGGTCTGGCCATCACCTATGGCCTGCTGCAGGAGTGTGGCCTGAATATGGAGCTGAATAGTCCCAGGTCAACCTGGGATCTGGAAGTCAAGCAGCCCCTGTCTGCCCTGTATGCGACCCTTTCCATTCTGCAGCAGCTAGCAGGCAGTCAGAGAGGCCAGGCCCTACCAGTCTATACTGGAAGTGTCCCTGATGAGCTCAGAGGACTTAGGACCACAATTTCTGCCACTCTAGGTCAGACACAGCCAGGAGTCAGTAGACTTGAGGGAAAGTTCTGAAATCACAGAAAGATCTGTACCTTGATGAAGATTCATGCATTTGTCAAAACTCATCAAATAGTATCTAAAGATGTGAGCATTTCGCTGTATATAGCAATGCTACTCCAAAACAATGTAAACCAATATTAAACGCCAGTAACAATATGAATTGTTTGGGGTGAGGTGTACTGATATCAGCAACTTACTTTGAAATACATCATAAGGGACGCCTGGCTGGCTCAGTGGTTGAGCATCTGCCTTTAGCTCAGGGCGTGATCCTGGTGTCCTGGGATCAAGTCCCACATCAGGCTCCCCAGGGGGAGCCTGCTTCTCCCTCTGCCTATGTCTCTGCCTGTCTCTAATGAATAAATAAATAAAATCTTTTAAAAAATGCATCATAAAAAAATGCATCATAAAATAAGGGGACTAATGAATGGATAGAGAGACAGATATCAGATTTTAAAAACAAGAGGTTTTCTTCTTTTTTTCATTTAAATTTAATTAACATATAATGTAGTAGTGGTTTCAGAAGTAGAAGTTAGTGATTCATCAGCTGCATACAACAGCCAGTGCTCATTACATCCAATACCCTTCTTAATGTCCATCACTGTTACCCCATCCCCCACCCCCCACCCCTCCACAACCCTCAGTTTGTTTCCTATGATTAAGAGTGAGTCTCTTATGGTTTGTCTCACTCTCCGATTTCATCTTGTTTTATTTTTCCCTCTCTTCCTCTCTGATCCTGTTTTGTTTCTTAAATACCACATGAGTGAGATCGTATGATAATTGTCTCTCTGATTGACTTATTTTACTTAGCATAGTATCTTCTAGTCCCAACCATGTTGTTGCAAATGGCAAGATTTCATTTTTTTGATGGCTAAGTAGTAGTACATCATATATGTACCATATCTATATCCATTCCTCAGTCGCTGGACATCTGGGCTTTTTCTCTTTTTTTTTTTTCAATTCTTGAAACATTTTGTATGTCTGGAATTGTTTCAAAAAAAAAAAAAAACCTCTCTAAAAAGGCGGGGAGGGGGCGCTTGGGTGGCTCAGTTAGTTAAGCATTTGCCTTCAGCTCAGGTCATGATCTCAGGGTCTTAAGATCCAGTCCTGCATTGGGTTGCCTACTCAGTAAGAAGTCCGCTTCTCCCTCTGTCCCCCTCCCTAGCTTGTGCTCACTCTCTCTCAAATACATTTTTAAGATCTTTAAAATAAAATTAGCTCCCTCAAAATTATAACTGTGTACTGATCATTATGTGCGACTTTTCCAAATTATGCTTTTTTGAGCTCTTTTAAAAGGAACGTTGAGGGGCACCTGGGTGGCTCAGTTGGCTAAGTGTCTGCCTTTGGCTCAGGTCATGATCCCAGGATCTTGGGATGGAGCCCCACATTGGGCTCCCTGCTCCGTGGGGAGTCTGCTTCTCCCTCTGCCTTGGCTCCTCCCCCCTACTTGTGCACACGCATTCTCTTTCTCTCTCAAATAAATAAATAAAAGCTTAAGAAATAAAAGAAACATTGAGAGAACAAAATAAGATGTCTTAGAAATTAAAACTAATATAACAAAAGCCCAATAGAAGGATCAGAGGGTAACGTTGAGGAATTTTTCCCAAAAAGTAGAGTAAAAAGTCATAAGGTGAAAAATAAGAAAGAAAAAATAAGAAATTGAGAAGAGTAGCTTAGGAAGCCTAACAGCTGGTTAAAACAAGTTCTCAGGGATCCTGGATGGCTCAGCGGCTTAGTGCCTGCCTTCGGCCCAAGGCGTGGTCCTGGAGACCTGGGATCGAGTCCGCATCGGGGTCCCTGCATGGAGCCTGCTTCTCTCTCTGCCTATGTCTCTGCCTCTTTCTGTGTCTCTCATGAATAAATAAAATCTTTAAAAAAAAAAAGTTCTCAAAATAAAAAGAGAACACACACACAAATGGAAAGGAAATCAACAACAAAATAATTCAATAAAATATTCCATAACCAGAATATGAGTTTCCAGATTTAAAGGGCCCATCACATACTTGACACAAATGGATGAAAATGGGCCCATACCAAAACACATTTGGGTGATGTTTCAGAACATGCAGGACAAAGTAAAAATCCAGGGAAAAGTACAAAGGTTATTTACAAAAGACCACAAATGAAAGAATAACTTTTAAGTGGGTACCTGGGTGGCTCAGTCTCGGGGGCCTGAGCTCAAGCCTGGCCTCCAGCTCTGCACTGGGCAGGGAGCCTACGTGAAATTCTCTCTCTCCCTCTGCCTCTCCCCTGCCTCTCTCGGTCTCTTAAAAAAAATAAATAATAATAACTTTAAATTAAAACCACACAACAAACTAGAAGCAATAGAACAAGGACTTCCTACATTTTGATGGAAAATTATCTCTAGAAGTCTACATCAATTTGAAGGTAGAATAAAGGGCATTTTCAGGCAGATTTTTTTTAAATTACTATGTTCCATTTTCCAGAAAGCTATGAGACAATGTGATACAGTAAAATGAGAGAGACCCAAGAGGAAGATATTGGCTACAGAGAAAAAAAGATTTAGTGTAGAACAGAGATAGGGGGATGCCCAGGATGACAGTACGGGGGCCAGAAGGCAAGTAGTCCCCATCTGAGCAAAGAGGAAGGCTTTGGGGGAAATTTCTCCAGAAGAGGAAATTGATAGAATACCTCAATTCTGAGGTATTTAATACAAGATTTAAGGAACTGGCAGTTTGGATTTGATTAGATACAAACACACTGAAGATAGAAGGAAAAATAAACAAAAAATGACAATGAGAAAAGTCCTACAAGAAAGGAAAATAATTATGGCTTATTAATAGCTGAGAAGTATTCACATAGTCATAACTGTGATGGGACCTGCGTGTGGTGCAGAGCCAAGGGGACCCTAAATCCTCATCTTCCCTGGTATAAGTTCATGAAGAATGTCTAAAATTGAGCAAGCTTATTTTTTTAAAATATTTTATTAATTTATTTGACAGAGAGAGTGTGCACACAAGCAGGGGGGAGCAGCAGAAGGAAAGGGAAAAGTAGGTTTCCTGCTGAGTAGGGAGCCAGACAAGGCTTGATCCCAGGACCCTGGGATCATGACCTGAGCCCAAGGCAGATGCTTAAAGGGACTGAGCTACACAGGGCACCTGAGCAAGCTTATTATTAAGAGATGTCAGACACAAAGGGCCACATGTTATATTATCCTGTCCATAGGAAATATGTAGAATAGGCAAATCCACAGAGACCAGGAAGTATACCAGTGGTTAGGGTGGGGAGTAATGAAAATGTTCTAAAACTGACCATGGTCATGGCTGCACAATTCTGTGAATACACTAAAAGCCGCTGATTTGTACACTTTCAAGGAGTAAACTGTATGGCAGGTGAATTATAATCTCAAGAATGCCCTTTAGGGCAGCCCGGGAGGGCTCAGCGGTTTAGGGTCCCCTTTGGCCCAGGGCTTGATCCTGGAGACCCAGGATCGAGTCCCACACCAGGCTCCTTGCAAGGAGCCTGCTTCTCCCTCTGCCTGTGTCTCTGCCTCTCTCTCAGTATCTCTCATGAATAGATAAGAAAATCTAAAAAAAAAAAAAAAAGAATGCCCTTTAAACAAGAAATAAGGGAGGTAATTACCAAAACAAGCAACAAAGCACATTTAAAGTGATCTTCTCTAGGGAGAAACAATGGGGGAGGAGGGGGCAGAAAGAGGGGTAGGATGGGATCTGAGATGTAAAAGAAAACTCAAGTTCTGTGAACACCGGCTTCGATTAAAGAACACAAAGCACTGATATTCCTGCAAGTGCACATGACCTTATTGAAAGCTGGAGGATCACCCCAGGGGCTGGAGACAGAACCACGACTCCTGGGCAGGGGCAGGGCTGTAAACCCTGTAGTGCTGGACACAGGTTCTAGAGAGTTCCTGCGCAGGGCACAGCCCACAGTCCAGACCCATCACCCGGCCACCGCCCTCATGGCAGCCGCCCAGGGCCTCAAGTAGGTGCAGGGGGTGGGGACCCCAAGTCCTGGAAGGGTGGCCGGCCTTGGGGGCCGCAGGGGCCCCCAGCAGGAGGGCAGGCCGCGGCAGGCCAGCAGCTCCTGGCCTGTTCTTCTTGGGCACCCCCCCCCTCCTGGAGAGCATCCCACTTGGGAAGTGCTGCTCGGAGCTGAGCTGGTGCTGCCCCTGAGTGGTCCCCAGCGGGGGGGGGGGGGGGGCGGGACATCTTCCATCTTCCTCCTGCTTCCCCAGGCAGGCCAAGGTCACCTACCTGAGCCCCTTCCTCCATAGAAATAGCAAATATTGTCATTTGAGGCTGTGTTGGCCCATTAGACGAATATATTAACAGAAGACATCCTCGTAGACCTAAAAGTTTCTTTCTTTCTTCTGATTTTAAAGTAAACTAAAACATTGTCGTGGGCCCTAGTAGTAGTGTGAGCCCTGGGCACTGCGCCTAGTGGAGAAGCTCGCCCCTCACCCACCTACTTTCCCCCGGGTCACACTCCCCTGGGCTGTGGTCCTCCGCTCCTGGAGTCTCCCCTTTCCAGTGGGCTGTGGGTGCTCATCTTAAAAGCCACCTGCCCGCTTGCAGTGTCACTACCCTGATCACAGGGCCCACCTCAGGAGATGCTCACAGACCTCCTGCCATCAAAGACAGATCAAAATGCCACTGGGGGAGGGGAACAGAGGCTCCCCCTAGATGCCTCTACCCGAAGGAGGGAGAAGAGAGAGGAATCCCTGATCTTCTCATGCCCCTCCCATCTCCTCCTCCTCCTCCCCCCCCCCACCCCTGACCCCCCACTATCCCAGAAAAGCAAGGTAACAGCTTATCAACAACCTCCCCTGGGGCATTACCTTGTCATCCTTCCCTCCCCTTTTTAAGATGGAGCAACTGAGGCTCCAAGAGTCAAGTGGCTTGCTGAGGGTCACCCCCCCTACCCCATCCCCCAGTAAGTGGTGGAGGCCAACGTGGACCTCAGGGCTGATGCCTTAACCATGCTCAAACTTGCCTCCCTCACCACCTGGCTCCAGCCTGGACCTCTCTTCCCACAGAGCTGAACCAGAGCCAGTCCATCCAGATGGAGGAGATGGTGGCAGGAGCCGTGACAGGGGCCATGAGTGTGAGCATCGGGCTGCCGGTGCAGGTGACAGGGAGCAGTGGGTGACCCACAGCTCCACACTGACTGTACACACCCTCAGGGTTTCCCCTCACACCTGGGAAACTGGTGGAGAAGAGGTGAGAGTCAGGTAGGCCGTGCAGACCGGGGGGCCCTCCTGGCTGAGCTCTGTGGGCGCAGGGCCTCCAGGCAGGAGTAGGGATGAGGGGGCAGCAGAGAAAAGCCCAAAGCTCAGGCCAGCTTGAGGCCTCCAGTGAAGCCCCTCTGACGAGTGGGCCGGGATGGGAGCCCACCATTCGCAGTGAGCCCAGGGGACCAGGGACCAGGGAGTGGGTGGTAAGAAGGGCTTAGTTTAAGTCAGAGATTTCAACCCAGGTGGAAATGAAACAGAAACATGGTAGCTGCTGAGTGGAGGTGACAGGCAGTGTGGAAGACTATGGCAAGTCGCGACACAAGCCTGCCCTGAGCTGAGCAGCAGCTGCCACGACTGCTCCAGGCAGGACTGTGAGCTCCGTATTTCTTCCAAGAAGCTAGAAACTGAGATTTTTATGTGAAACCTACCAATTTTAATATAATCTCAAAAATTCTGAACACCACATGGGCCAAGTAAGCTTTTTGTACAGTTCAGCTTATAGAAAGCCATAGGGTGGCCTCTCTGCTGGACGTTTTGCACCGTGTAGAAGACAGATGTCACACTCCCCCTCAGTTTCTCTCCTCTTTCCGTCACCCCCAAGTGACTTTAAACAAGCAGTCCCGAAGTCCAGGCCAGTCATACCTGGGAAGGCCTGGCCCCCCGGAGCCCTGGCAGCGGCCCTCCCCAGCTCTGCCTCTTCTCCTGCCCCACCCCTACACACCCTTGCAGGAAACTGAGGACCCCAAAGCCCTCGTTCCTCGAGGAGTTGCAACACCGGAAGGAGAAGGAGGGCCTGTATTTGGTGACAGAGGCCGTGGAGACCACGCAGGACACCATGCTTCAGAGCCTCAACGATGCCAAGGGATCAGGACAGCTGGCCTTCCTTGGGCCAGGCCACTTGCAGGTGGGTGCAGGGTGTGCCCCAGGGGTGCCATTTCGGGTGTGCTGGGGATGC